GTAAGGAGCATGAACTCGACAATAATCATCAATAAAATCCTTAATTTCTCTCATTCTTTACGTGAGAATTTTATAAGGTATCAGAGCTCATAAGCTCTTTCGCTTACTAAGTATTGAATCTAAAATAACCACACGTTCAAACTTCAATGACCCCTCTTATACCAATAGTGTGTCCACCTCTTTCATTCCTCACCTCATTGCCTCGTGTTTCATTAAACATAAGCCAAGAAACTATTTCATATTTCATATTTCATATAGAGAACACAATGACTATGCAGTTGATTCAGATTATGAGACTAACTTATCTCATTGCGGAGAATGAACCAACTAAAAGTAGTTGTTCCATTCAAAAAACTGTTGAGAAAGTTATAGCTACCGAGAAGAATGCAGAAGATGATGGCAACACTGATTAGTCGAAAGAGAAAGATGTATTGCTAAGGATTTAGATCTCAAACACTTTGAAAGAAGAAACATATACCTGATTATGGATACTCAATTTCCAAGGAGATGTGGAATGCTTAGAAGAAGACCATCTTCAAGTAACAAAAGATAAGGAGTTTCAGCTCAAACAACAACTGCAAAATGTTAGGCTAGGAACCAAAAAGATCGATGAATACATTAAGGAATTCAAAGCTATATGTGATGGCCTTGTAGCCATTCACAGACTTGTGGATGGAGATATCAAAAAAATCATTTTTAGAGGTTTAATTTTAAAGTATAAGACCTTCAAGACTATCATGTTAGGTAAGAACCATATCCCACCCTTAGTCAATTTGTCAATTCTTTCACGAGTTTTGATATGAGGGAGGATGAAGAAGAAGTGGCATAACAGAGCTATAACATGATATTCTCTACTCAAAGGGGTAGGAAAAGAGGGAACTACTCTCATATAAGAGGAAACAACAACTTCAACTCTCGAGGAAGAGCCTTCAAGCCTATTGGATAAGGAACAGGTTTCGAATATGAAACAGATTGTAAGAAAATCAAAGTTTCCCAAGTGGAAACAAGGAAAGAAATAGTATTAAGTCATGTCAAATCTATTGTAAAAATAGTCATTCTACTCTGAAGTGTTTTTAGTGGGACTATTCTTATCAATCTACGATGGATCACAAACATTGGTTGTTGTCAATCTATTGATGAACTACGATAAGCATTATTGTTGTGAATCTATAGATGAACTACCACATCTATTAGTTGTTGTCAATCTACATAATACATGACACTTTGTACGTGGATTCATGAACAAGTATTAATTCAGGTATTCTATCTGAATTTAAACACTACAATGGACCAGATAAAATTACCGTTGAGAATGGATTACAACTAGACATAATATATGTTGAAAATACAACTAGATTCGGCCTAAATTTACAAGAAGTCTTTGTAGTTTCTTAGATTACTAAGAATCTACTCATAGTTAGCAAACTTACAAAGGATAGTGGTTGTACTCTTACATTTGATGAAACATAGTGGTTGTACTCTTAAATTTGATGAAACTAACTTTTTTTGTAAAGGAAACAAAGACAAGGACACTACCGGCCAAAGGATCTAAGCTGAGTAGATTGTATGTTTTGGAAGATAACAATCTTTATGCTCTAATTGTTGCACACGATTGGAAAACATAAGACTACATGTGACACACTAGACTAGCTAGGACATTTTAATTTGAAGTCATTAAATTATTTCATTAATAATAGTTGCATTAATGTTAGTAGTTTAATTACAATTTCTACTATTTTACAGTTTGGCAATAGTCGTGAGCTTTATTTGGCTTGAGAAATAAAATTGAGAAGGAACCTTTATTGAAAATTCATTGTGCTATTGAGGTCCTACTCCCGTTGAATCCTCTCAACATATGAGATAGTATATAGTGTTTGTAGATGATCACACAAGGCATACTTGGATTTATCCACTGAAAAAGATTTTAGAATGTTTGAAGTGATTGTAAAATTTCCAAAAAAGTGATAGTGGAAAAATAATTTTCTAAAGATTTTAAGATTTCCGAGTATTATGGAGGTGGTGATTTCATCAAAACATACTTCATTAAATATCTACAAGATTATGGTATTGTTAGACATATTTCATGTCTTAACACACCTTAACAAAATGGAGTTTCAAAAAAGAAAAAATAGGCACATTGTTGAGACTGATTAACTATCCTATTAACCTCTCTTTGTTCCTATGGGTTGAGGCATTTCTCCCTGCAGTTTTTCTCATTAATAGCTAACCTTCTCATTCTTAAAGACGGTGACTTCATTTGTTAAGCTATATAATAAGCAACCTGATTACAATAGCCTAAGGTGTTTGATTGTAAGTGATTTCCTTAAATCAAGGATAGTAACATTTTCCATCCAAAGACCCACCCATGTGTTCATAGGATATAACAGCTTACACAAAGGTTACATATGTTTTCATCCATCAACAAGGAGAGTGTATGTGTCCAGACATGTTGTCTTTGCTGAAAACACATTACTTTTTGTGCCTCCAAGTCAAACTGATGTCTCACCTTATTTGGCTACGTTCGCTGAATTTTTCTTCAAATTACAAGTATGTGATGATCCTAATTAAGGGTAAGTACAGTTTATTGAAACACAAGCTAGTGGTGACAATGTTACGGAAATCCAACAACCCTCATACCTCTTGATGATGATAATGATATTGATCCCGGATCAAATTATAGTCATGAGAAATAGGTTGAAAGTACAATGGTAATGAGGCTTAGGTTGCAGATTCAGGTTCAACTAGTGGTAGTGAAGCAAAAATTGTACGTGAAGGTCCAAATAGTGGTGGTGTACCAAATCTCGCCTTCTTGTGACTAGCCCATAAGGAATACACTTAGAAGTTTATATGTGGAGATGGAAATCTGAAGTAATTACAATATAATTAGTTGTCTCAGTTGATACACCTTACACACCACAAGGGAATCACATGATCACCAGATAATACAAGGTAAACTAACATCATATGTCACTTGAGGGAACCAAAAACTACTAAGGAAGCACTAAACTAACCCTACTGGCTTGTAGGTATACATGAGGTAATCAATTCTTTACGTAACAAAAAAACATGGTTATTAACACCTAAATTTCTCCAAGATAGGTGTTCAAGACCAAGTTGAAGGCCAAAGAAATAACAGACAGCTACAAAGTCAGGCTTGTTACCAGGGGTTTCTCACAACTTGAAGGGATAAATTTTAAAGAAACTTATGTGGTTAAGTCCACAACTATTAGGGTGTATCTATCCATTGTTGTCAACCCTAAGTAGGAAATCAATCAGCTAGACGTCAGAAATGCATTCCTCTGTGGTTTCTTGTAAGATGAGATGTACATGAGCCAACCATATAGGTTTGTTGATCCTAGGAATCTTCAACATATGTGTCTAATGAAAAAAGTACTATATAATCTAAAATAGGCACCAAGAGCTTGATTTGATAAGTTTAAAATGCATCTCCTACATCTTGGTTTTATTTGTAGTAAGCCAAACCCCTTATTCTTCATTTTGCAAACTCACAAAGGTACCATATTCCTCATGTTATATGTAGATGACATTATTGTAACATGAAATAATCCATCACATATCTCAGAGTTTGTCTTACAACTCACAAAGAAACTTTCGATGAAAGATCTTTGAACATTTAAACTTTTTATAGGAGTAGAGGTCAAATACTTTGCAAGAGGAATCCACTTGAGTCAGGGTAAGTATGTGGCAAAGTTACTCGAAAAGACAGATATGACATTGACAAAGGTTGTAGCTACTCCTTTTGCTCAAAATCACGGTCTATGAAGCTTTGGGAAGTCTTATCGATGCCACTCTATATAAAATGATAGTAGGGAGTCTCCCGTATTTGACACTCAAAATATTTGATATCACTCATGCAGTGAATCTAGAAGTTAGTTTATGCAATGTCCTAATATTGAACATCTCAAGAGTGAAAAAGATTCTCAGGTACATCAAAGGTACACTACATTTACGACTCAGAATTATTTCACAATCACTTTGTAGGTTGTATGGATATTCAGATGTTTATTAGGGAGGCTACACAATCGCTAGGAGATCAACTATCACGACCCAAGTAGATCCTAGGCATAACATGGAGTATAAATAGAGGCATACCGCATATCATTGGTTACTCAATCCTATTGATTCACAACTTCATCAAATAGCAGTTAAATAAACATTTTCTTTCTACTTACTTCCCTATCTGAGTGTGAAGTTTTATGTCAAATAAATTCATCTAATTGCAAGCAACATGTCATAAATGAAATATAAATTGCGATCACCAATCAAATATTCATCTAATTTGATAGATTTTTTCACACTAATTTTTGTGGGAGTAGACCCCAACGTTTACTATATTTAACTATACATCGTCATATCATTTTATATAGGTAATTTGAGCATATCACTCTATCCCATCAAATCCTTGGCAGACACAAAATAACACCTAATGCAATTAACTAAGTTATCAAAATATTGTGTTAGAACCAACACAAAAAAACTAAGTATTACAACTCAAGACTCATTGTGTGATATTTTTCTCTCTCTAACCTGTGTGAAACAACTTTATTCGTATTAGTCTCCGGGACAACTATAAAGGAGGAACAAGTTCTCTGATGAATTTCTTTGATAGCATTGCTAACTTCTTCATTTTTTCTTAGAGATTTATGAAGACCTGATTCACGAAACTTAAATTATTTATTTTTCAGCCTTCAATCTTCCTACTTCACATAGATTATAATCATCAAAATACTACATGATTTTGAATATAGATTCTGAAATCATGGTTCTTCTAACACTTATATTATTTGTATTGTTATCCTGGATTTCAATTCTAGCAGCTTCAGGGGATACAAAACAGTAATGGATAAGCAACAACTAGACTAAACTACCTCTTTTGCAAGCACATGTAGATTTCAGATAACAAATCATGTGTTAAACAAAAATTACTGAACAGCTAAAAGGAATTTGAAAATAAAAGAATGATACAAAACATTGTATAATTATGTGCAAGCTTCTTTTTATTCATGAAAATGTAACAATTACAAATATTAGTATATAATCTTATATAACTTTCCAAGTCTCCCGTGCCCTTAATCGGCGAAGAAAATAGAATTGACACAGTCACTAACAAGATGAGTATGACATGTGACCAATCAACAATAGTGCTCAGAGGCATCGACACCCATGAATGAAGAGACCCTCATAAGAAGATATCTTATACAGCAGAGCTAGTGTTTCAGGCTTACATGATAACACCACACATAACTAGACGTATATAACATCTCAAGGACATGAGGACAAAATGTGAGATCAAATGGTCAAACCAAAACTATCAACAAAACTTCGTATGACAATCAAAAATTCCAATACAATACATGCCTACTTCAATGTGTGTTTATCAGCTTCATACATTTTCATATGACAGGCATGATTGCCATCAATCAATGGCAATAATGAGAAATCCAAAAGATACATACATGAGTACCATAGGATACACAGCAAGAGATTTCCTCCTAGTATTAATATTTGTACTTATGAAGGGGTATGCTGCCCAAGAACTCCAAGCTAGTGCAACACAAACTACAACCACCTTCAATATTACATTGTCCTTTAGCATGCAAATAAAGGCGCCAACATCAAGTGGGAATAGATAGTTACCTAAAAGAATGAGGCTTTGAAAGAAGATTATGTGACCGCCCTGCAGGTCAAACTCATTAATTTCATCTAAAGTAAGAGAAACATCATTTATATTAATTCTATGACTCCAACTACTTTAGTACTGTGAAAAGGAATCTACATATACACTCATTAGTGTCGGTATAATGGTATTATTTTAGTGACAGGAGCCTATAGAATGCATTCCTGGGTATATATGCACTAATGAGCTTCCTTTGGCTATCTGACATCTCTTGGCATCTTTAGTATATGTCTAGTAATTGCCTAAAGATGCTTAACCATATACGATATTAAGGTGTGTTCTTTTTCTTTTGTTATTCATGTTTTGACCTTATTTTTGGTATAGGCATGGGTTGAGAAAGTTCCATTACCAGTAACAAGATATTCAATGTCACGATGACAGCACCGGCAGCCAGCAGAGCAAATGCAACAGCAAAAACCTCGGACTGGATGAAAAATAAATCCGGTAGTCAGTAATCCATCACAAAATCACTCAAACCACAAGAAATTAAATATCAATTAATCAATCACATAAGCTTCAGCTGCAGCTAGTTCAGTTTGGTTATATAAACAGTCCAAGCTATTTTGGTTACGGTATATAAAACCATAGGCAACTAAACGAAGTATAAAAGAAAAGAGTAAAATAATGTCTGCCTGTGGACTTCGTTACAGTAACAAGACAACATGCCATAATCGAGCAAGATCCGGCCGGACCTAAGTTTCAACAGTCCAAAAGCTGATCTAGAATTATTCATTACATCAAATTGTCTGAAAATAACTGTCTAGACAAACAACATTTCCACTTGACATTCGATAATCTCTTGATGGTTTGTTAATGGGTCCACAGAAACATTGCTGATTGTTCACAAACTTGGAAGGTAACTCCTCACAACATGTTGAATAAGAGATAACTAGTAACAACAAAAAAGCAAAAAATTTAAAATAATAAAGAAATGCAAAAACAACTGCAAAAGGTTCATTTAGACATGAATAAGAACTATCCACAGTGAGATGCATGAAAACTAAGTGATCATTTTTTTTTGAATAAGGTATTGGGGTGTGCAAACAAAAGACAGAACTGAGTGATCTTGAGTTTAGGACTGACATATCACATTTATACCAATACCAAGTTAAAAGTGCAGGTTTCTCTTTGGCCGACAGGTTTAGAAGAATCTTTCCAGTTAATGAAACAGAAAAGTTTGAGGTTGTTTAACATGCTTCTTCATTCATATTTTCCCCAGGGTATAGCAAAATATGCACTGATGTCTTTCTGGTTGACCAAGTAAGTCTCACTGTAAGTCCTAGTTTTGACCAACCATTTTTGGGAAGTCTATGAAGTAGCCATGACACTCGTCTTCCATCATATATACAAGCTTGAATAGTTTTACATAGAAGAGGAGTAGAGGACTATTGAGTATTGACACTAGAATTACACGTTTATAATTTGCACCCTTGTTAAGAGTTCTGCTTATACTCCATTCCCTCCCATAGCATCTTCTCTTCTTCTACCACTTCTGCTTCTCCTTCTTAAGACCAGTAAATTCTTAACAATATACATCTGATTTTCTCTTTTTTTATTATTCAAGTAAGCTAGACAAAGTCAGATCAGTACTTGTAACTTCCTCTTTGTGATCATCGGTTATCTACTCCAAGTTAATTAATCTCCCAACATGAGATAAGATGGTGAAGCTGCATTAAAGTGGAAGAAGGGCATGTGACAACATCAATATAAACTTTGAGCACAAGTCACTTAAACCTCGACCTCAACAACTTAAAATGAAGAGGTAAAGCAAAAACGCAGAAAGGGCCTTCACAGGACAGCCAAGAAATTGCTAGAAATTTTCTTGATAAAGAAAATTTCTAGAATATTTTAAGCTAAGCAAAGCAAGAAAAACAAGAAAAGATCTCACAAGCACAAAGCAAGAAAATCAAGGATAAATGATCTTGTTTTCATCCTCGTTATATAACCCGTATACACTAAATAAGATTGATAGTTGCAATAAAGAAACTAAAATGCATAGATAAAATGCACTTAAATCCCTCTCTTTCCGCTTCCTCCAGCTGAATACATTACCTTTTTTCAGTAACCACTAGTCATCCTAACAAAGCACAAATTGGAATCTTACCAGCTTAATAGTTTGGAAGTCTCTCATAATCAACATATATATCTCAAGAGTCAAGATATTCGAGATACTGAATGGGCTACTATAGTTGTTTCTCTGCAATCTTTCCCTTGTTGTTGCATAAAGGATATCAAAGGTAACTAGTTCTTTACCAAGGAAAGTAACTATGCACTTGTCAACCATCCAATAATCAAAATTAGGTAAAACGTGATGCTCAAACCTTTGAAACAACAAATTGAGGTATACACAATCTCTCCATTGAAATTAATGTGGCAAAGTTGTATAGTTTGACAGGGCATGAGTTTAAGAATGAAGGAAACACTGTGATTTTACATGTTATCATCTGGCCGGAAATCTACACTAGTTCTCCTACCCACTCCCTTTTATCCCACATATCAAAATCCCTCCTCTACTATTCCTGGCCTCCAAATGTACTTCTCTGATCCATTAGCCCACAACTCCCTCATTAAATTACTTACCCTCCAATCTTTGTTTCTAAAAGAACACAAATGTTTGCCCCCCACTTGTGAATTACTTGTTTTACCAGCCTCCTCTTGTTTGCCCCATTCAAACCCCTCACGTGTCATGACATAGTTTTAACCTTTATTGATCTCTAATTGGTGGTCGTCTCCCCTTTCTTAGCTCACTCCTACATTCCTCATCGTTATAATTGACCTCAAAGATTAAATTTCTAACCTCTTTTGGGATCAAAAGGTTGTTATATTTGTTTGACTGTGAAACTTCTCTTCTTTGATCTAGCCTCTCAAAGAGGGCCTCTGCATCTTTTTCCAAACCATTAAAATGGATTCAAATTCCTTCCTTAATGTAATTGTATTTTGATGCACCCAAGATATTGCATCAGATTCCACCTTATTATTACACTCACTTAGGTCATATTGGATAGGTGCAGGCTCTTCAATCGGAATCAGCTGCATTTGTGTCCTTCCCTTGTTTTTCATGTTATCTCATCTGCATCAATCAACTCAGTTTCCGAGATCAACTCTAATGGAATTATGATCACATATGCTTCATGGTTTGTGTCGATTCTCTACATGTGATCCTCAGCCCTTTCTCTTATGAGCATCCCTTGCTTCATCTTCATAGTTAAAACCTGTCGCAATTCGCAGCCCCTATACAATGCCCACATGAGCGTTTATGCTTTCAATGAAAGGCTCAGTTGTAGGCTTTTTAATTAAGCCTTTCTGTATTTTCTCATTAAAATGAGAGGAAGGCCCACTTTCATTTAAACGAAGAGAAGGCGATCTGGAGTAAAATTGATCCACTGACCCTACTCCTTTTGAATTGTTGCATCCAGTCACGTGCACATCATCTTTGTCCATTGTGTAAAAACCTCAATCGTATCCAATATCCAACAGATCTTTCCTAGCTATTAGCCCTTTCGCCTTTCTTGGTGTTTTCCCTTTCTCCACAGTTAACTAACACAAGCTGTTAACTCCTTTTCTGTGAAAAGTTTTGCCCCCTCTTGAGAGTTCAACAACAAAACTTTTTTCAAATTTTGTCGGCGCTTCTACCCATACTTGTAAATTGAATCTCCATTCCCCATCCCTGAGCTCAACCAACGTCCGAACATTTTTCAGCGACCATTACTTTAACTCAAGCCCATCTCAAGTGATTCTTGAGCTACTTCTCCAACCACCCGCCATAGTTTTCTCCAATCTGCTTTATAACCCCTAATGGACCATAGTTAAAGTGGCAGACCTAGATCCCTAATCCAATACTATTTGAAATTGGTACTAATTGAGTATGCTCTACCTATTGATGAATGAAGACCACCAATCCAGCTTGAGACTGCTTCCCTGGTTTTATCAAGATTCTTTCATGACATGCTCTGCGTCCTTCACACTTTGAAAATCAAATAGGAATGAACTCTCGTTCATGTCAAACACTTGGAGGTTATATATTCCAATCCAAGCTTAATGTGACCATTTTTTGACATCATCTTGTGAAGGGATTTCATTGCACTCAGCGAAACTGAACCTAAGCATCTTCTAAGAGGGAATTCTTAACATGAGACAGCTTTGTTCCCCCCATGGAAGCCGTCATATCTCCCCATTATCACCATCATGGATCCATGTAGATTTATTTAATACTTCTTTAAAGCTTCTTTCATCACTTAATAATCTGACATCCCTTGTCCTTTTGGTATTTAAGGCCCCCTGTCTAACTTTATCTTTAACGAGGCAGGCAAACTTTGAACCCAAAGTCAACTGTGTAGCCCTCATTAAATATGTTCTCTGCCACAATAGTAACTGACCTAGAACCCCCTTTGACAGCAAAGACAAAAATAAAGCGACCAGGTTTATTGAACTTCAGGCATAGAAGAGGCTCGTAGCCTTATCTCTGCTTCCCTTTGTCTTGTACACTCTACCTCTAATATCTAATGCTTCTCTGAGCCTTTGCGACACCCGATGCAGGGCATCAAGACTTGAAGACATTCTCCTAATACACACTATGAAACTCTCCACCCATTCATACCATCTCTCACTCATATACCTTAGACTCAATAATGTCAAACAACTTTCTCACAAATCTGAAATAAATAAAATTATCCATGACCAATAAAAGACTTAAAAGCAGGAAAATGAGACTAAGAATAAATCTCGACGATCGAATACCACCAGAGAAGGTATCGATACAAGAAGTCCGAAAAGGACCTTAGGTAACTACCTCATTAACTGAGCCTAATAACATATTAGTACCTATTATTTATTTTTTCTAAACAGGAATCTAGGTGTTCTGAAGATACTAGTAGTTCCTTACAAAAACGTAAGAGAATTGTATCTTAACTTTTGTTATTGATGTGAATTAGAGTATATAGATGTTTTTGTTCCTGTTATAGACATCATAAGGTTCTTAACAAGATGATAAAGAGCTTAGCTCTTTCTCTTGTTTATACTTTGGGTTTGGATCCACTGATGTAAACGTTCACTTTGGTTACAAACATTTTTGTGTTTATGATTTATTTATAGTTTGTTACCTTGTCATAAAAAATAAAGGCAATAGACAAACAGAATATAACTCTATGCATGTTGGACTTCCGTGCACAAAATAAATAGAACTATTTTCTCCCATTCAATTGTGTTGTCTTTATAGTCATTTAAGACCAAGCTAGCTATACCCTAGCAAGTCTATAGGACATGTCCATAAGAAGACAGAAACTTATAAGGGGAAGGAGTAGGACTGCCACATGATTATGATGTGAACTGTGATAAAAATACACAGCTAGATAGCAAAAAGTTGAAAACTTAGGCACTTCCAAGAGTTCTCTTTTGAGATGGATCTAGATGAGGAGCCAAAAAAATAGTTGGGGTTTATGGTGAAATGTAGAGACAATTAAGAATGTAAGCACATTAAAGAAGTGGAGATAGAAGAAAAGAGAACTGAACCAAGAAAGGACATGCAAGAAACTACAATAAAGTTGTTGTTTTTTTTAGTAAAAAAACAACTATCCCTCAAATCCCAGACTAGTTGGCTGGCTGAATGAATCCACTTATGTCACTTCTGATTCATTTAAGCTCATTACATTCCAATAATATACAACAAGAAAAGGAAGAAAAATATAGCTCATAGTTGTCGGTAGCTAAAAGAAAGTCCTCCCTTTCTCTTGAACAAGGGAAGGGCAGCATAGCCATGTCATATCATGGTATCAAAGCAAAACTCACTGATCTATGTTGGTGTACTTCTCATTGTTGGATCCCTGTGTTATGTTATACATGCTCCAATTGTCCAGTCCTCATCATATGGGGAAGTGTTAACTATTAAGTCTGATATTGATTGAGGGAATTGGTTGTGCTCTCCTTATATGGTCATAGGGAATCATCCCTCATAAGCTAGTTTTTAGGTTGGATTAGGCTGAAGATCCATTTCTTCACATTGTATTAGAGTTAGACTCATTTTCGTTCTTGGTTTACCCAATATTGGGTCATCATGTTATGTTTTCCATGCCATAGATGTCCAATCTTTGGCTGGCGAGGGAGTATTATTAGTCACCTATTGATTAAGAAAACAGGATGTTATCTCCTATATGGGACAATCCTTTCCCTCATAAACAATGAAGATTATATCTGAAAAGAAAAGTAATCACACACTTCTAGTTTTTCCTTGGAAGAATTTATGCACCTGGTATTGAAACATTTAATGGTATTAAAGTTATCCTTTTGACCTATGTAAGTTTTGATCAGCTGTTTGCCAACATATAAAACTCTAGTTCTTTCATTTGTTCCTCCGGCACTTGTAATTCAAAGCATTATCCTTTCTATTTAGCTATAATTTGGATCTTATATGAGTGCCCCTTGTGCCAGAGTAAATTGGAATTACACACGATATAAATCAAAACTACAAAAGAAATACTTCTAAAACATTAACAGAATTGAGTACCTTCTAGCATAAGACACAAGTAGATTAGACTCAACCGATAGTTTGAACAGTAAAGTGGTAAGCTTGTTGATAAAATTTGACAATGTACCTTTTTAACAAAAGTAGACCATGACAAAGTGACACCAATGAAAACAATGTAGAAGAAAGGTCCTCATAGATCTTAATCACGAAGAGCCTTGCCAGGATCTTCTCTATAAGGATTAGGGAAAACCACCAGCTTCAAATTACTAACAATTCTAGGCAGATCTCTTTTGACGGTATCCCAAACGGGTTCTATAAGGGTATTGGGAGGCGATCCAAATCCAGTAGCAGCTATATTCGACTGTACCGATGAAGGTAGGGGTTGTGGAGATGAAATGGCGGGAACAGGTATAGCACCACGAGGGGAAGGAGGGCGTGCTGGAAGGACAATAGAAGGATTGGAATAGATGAGGTTTTCAATTTTATCAATGTCGGATTGATATGATGAGTGAAGAGGTATAGTGTCTCCATGTGACATTTTTTCCGGTAGCTCTCAGATTTGCAGAGATGATCGGAGATGGAGGACAAGGCGGAATTGAGTGAGTGGATGGGTGGTGTAACTGGTGTTGCCCTGTTGAGTTGTAAATGCAGGGAAAATGCCCAGTCGTATTGTAAGAAATTTGGCACTTGTTGGGAAAAAAGAAGAAGAAAATAAACAAAAACACCAAGGATATGAGAAGTGTGTGTTGTGGCACTATGCTAACTCGTTCTTTATAAAATGTAATAAAAATCTTAAAATATTTTTGAATTATACTCTATCAAAATTAATTAATTACACTCATTCCAAATTACATTTATCCCATCGATTAAAACAAATATATCCCTCCTTTATAATATTCCATTTCACCGTACTACCTTATTCTCCAATATATTTGTGTATAATTTACAAAAACACTATCTTAAATATACACATGTATCACCACAAAAAATCACAAAAGCACTCGTGATTTTTTATGGTGATACATAAGTGTATTTTATGTAGTGTTTTTCGAGATTGTAAGAGAATATATTGGGAAAGTAAGATTGGAAAATGAAGTGAAATGTTGGGAATGAAGGGCGCATTTGTTTTAATCCGTGGGTATATATAACTTGGGGAAGGTGTAACTAATTTGGATCGGATATAGTTAACTTGACTTGAGTGTAGTCAATTTGGGTCAGGTATAAATAGTAGTTGGTGAGTTTGTAAATTAATTTAACTAGTTAAATTGTAACTAATATATATAATATCCAGTGGTCACATATTTTTTTCTAAAATTATTTAAATGATAATCAACTATAAAAATGATCAATATTGGACTTAAAGGTGGATGGAAGGGTATTTCGGAGCGAATATGTGGATGTCATGGGTATTTGAAAGTCCATAGGTAGATGGAGGATAATTTTGTATAATTTCCATTAGTTTGAAGATATTTTAGGTCCTTCTACGTTTTGTTTATATTCCTCAATATTCGGGCTATGTTACAGAAGGGGACAGACGGAAATATTAAAGTCAATAATTTCATTGCGTGTAGAATATACATAAGTTGATGAATAATCTCTTAGAAGATATGATTAGACACATTATTGACAGTATTAGGCCAAGTCAAGTAATGATGTGAATGATAATGTTTGGTGAGTAGGATGCACCAAAGGTCTCATTTCAGTATTTCTGCTTTTGAGATCCTTAAACATAAGAAGGAGAAGAAACAATGGTTGAAGAAACATTGGTTAAATCACATCTGAATAAAGAAGTTGTCTTTTAAGATTAGATTTTTCTATGGAGAGTTTGAAAAAAGGAGAATAGCTACAAATAATAATCTTAAAAGAATGAAGATGAATATAGTTTCAAATGTCATTGTTGTAAAAACTACAATTACAAGACAAGTTTCGACTATTTTTCAAATAGCTTTCATAGTTCAAAAGTTATGAAAACAGTTTATTTCTTATGCAAATATCAATATTGAAGAATTGCACCAGTAAAACTAATATTAAGATGGTGAAATTTGTCAGATCACACAAAATTGTTAGCATATTCATAGCAATCCCAACAACTATAATATTGGAGTTCTGAAAAAAATGACAGGAGACAAGGAAAACAAATCATTTAATTTTTATAGGATGTTTTCAATTGACCTTACACCAACTGATTAAAGTGAAATATCCCTGATGGATCTTCTACATGATTGAAAAATGGTGATTTTTCTACAAAAATACAAAACCTAGATTACACTACCAAATGATGAAATGAGAGCTACCAGGGGTTGAATGAATTAAATGCAGTCCGATGGAAACAGCAAAAAAAATCTAGAATAGAGTTCATATGAATTTATTTTAGAGATATAGTTATGTTAATCTCCTATTTAAAGAGGCACAAGAAATAAGGATAACTATCAACATGGAAGGAAAAATAATTTTTATACGCAAAACATTCATATTGTACTAATAAAGGAGTGGAAAATATACTTTTGGAGATTGGTTCCCTCAATTTCAAGAATATATTGATAAGAAAATAGAGGATGTCATGTGTCACGATTCGAGACTATCTACCAGTAGTCATACGATGCTTAGTGCAAGTGATCCTAAGCTAACTTTTGACACTAGCATAAGTCATGAACAACTAAATAAGAACATGGATAAGAGCTAACATAATATAGTGAAAAACATAATCATGGAATAAATTCATTATTGAACAGAAATTTGTTTACAACAACCGTAATCTAACAAGAGATTGAAACAAAATAGATTGAATATAATAACTTTAACTATTGCCTATGAATCCTCTATTAATATTGATTATTGGTAATTGAGACATGACCCCCTACTCTCCATAATCAATACATATTAATAGAAGTAAAATATTGAAACCACAGATTAATTTGAGTCCTCAAAATAGGACTACTCATCACTTGTTAGCTGGAAGTTTTGGTCCGAATAATTGGGATCCTAATAGTAAGCACATGAATAGACATCACATGAAAAAAATAGGAAAAAGTGTCTGATTAATACTTTAAAAATATTAATTGTGTGAGATACACATTATAATTTTTAAAGCTGACATTAATGAATCTGAGATGCTAACGGGATATGAAATTGACATAAAAGTTGATGTAGTGATCAATCAAGAAACATGAAATTGATTAATACTAAACAGAAATAAATTAAATATAAGGTTATGCAAGATTTGAGTTTGAAATATGGGAGATACTGTAACACTTCAGAATTTGAAAAAGAAAAAATAAAATTTTAAAATGCAGCTTGTGCCTACGGTTCACATTTACAGTCTGTATAAGCTTTTACGGGCCGAAGATGACAACCGTAGAAAGTGAGAAAATAATTTTTTCAAAAAAATCCTCGTAACTTTGATAACATGGCGAACATTGATGACACTAATATGAGTGACATGTATCCCTCAAGATCATTCACATGGAGTCAATCAAAGGGTCTCCAAGACCTACAAGCAATGTTCATGAAAAAGAGAAGCATTAAAGGAGCTTGAAGGTCACCAAAGAAGGACATACATGCATGTAAGGTGCATCAAAATGAGAAGGAAGAAAGAAAGAGGCCATGTGTGCAAATGACCATTTCATGAATTCAAGAATTCAAAAAAAAAGGCAATCAAATAAGACGCTTATCTCATCAAGAGTATAATTGTAAAAGATGAAAAGAGGAAAAAAAAAAGACTGCAAAATTGTATAAAATCAAATTTTAAATCATTAAAATTAATTGCAGAAGTAAGAGTTCACCATTGATAATCATTATAGCTTTAAATTTTGAATTCATTATTTGCATTTTACGAATATGTGATAAGTTTGAATAGGTAATTCTTATAAATAATTGAAAATGTCGTCTGAAGTTCGTGTCTCAATTTTAAGGGGATTTGGTTAAGTTTATAATTTATTTTAGGAGAAATATTAGATTGAAATAAATTAAATATAACATTAATTTGTCTTGCAACTGTATTGAAGTTGAATAAGATGATACAATTTTAATGTAGATTTAATTCATTTTGAAGTTTTTTTTGATTTATTTGTTACTATTGGATACTTGTTTAATTCATTATTGATATAACTTATCAGTTTATAGTTCATTGTCATGTCTTTTGTTAGTTACATTTTTCATTCATTCTTAATACTCTCTTCTTATTCAACTTTAAATAATGTGTGATACAATTTTAATGTAAATTTAATTCAATTCACTTTTTTTATTTATTTGTTTCTATTAGATACTTGTTTAATTCATTATTGATACAAGTTTAATTCACTCTACAGAACATTGTCTTGTCAGTCATTAACTATGTTTTCCATTCATTTTTAATTCTCTCTTTTTATTCAAATTTAACACAGTGTAATACAATTTTAATACAAATTTAATTCATTTTTCAGTTTTTAAAATTTATTTGTTCCTATTGGCTACTTGTTTAATTCATTATTGATACAAGTTTATTTCACTCTATAAATCACTGTTTAATATTTCATTTGTTGCATTTTTTTGTTCATGCTTAATTTTCTCTTCTACCTCGACTTTAATATTTGTGTAATACATTTTTTAATACAAGTTTAATGCATTTTGCAATTAATTGATTGATTTGTTACGATTGGTTCCTTGTTTAATTCATTATCGATATAAGTTTTATTCAGTTTAGATGCATATCAAAGAGTGTTCTTTTGTTTTCTACCTTCTGTATTCATATTTAATTCTCTTTTAATAATTCAACTTTAATATGTTTGTAATACATTTTTAATTTAAGTTTAATTCATTTTTCGGTTTCTTATGCCTCTTCATTTGTTACGATTATACTACTTCTCTTCTAATAATTCAACTTTAATATGTTTGTAGTACATTTTTAATTTAGATTTAATTCATTTTGTAGTTTTTTATGGCTCTTCATTTGTTACGATTATATTACTTCTCTAATTAGATATTGATATAAGTTTTATAGAGTGTAGAATTATTGACTATACTACGAAAAAAGGGAAAAAAATCAATAGTAAGAGAAGATAGAGCAACAACAAAAAAGAAAGAAAGAAAGGACAACAAAAAGAAAGTAAGAAAGAATGAAAGAAAGAAAGGGAGAGAGAAACAGAAAAGGAGAGAAAATGAGAAAGAAAGAAAGAAAAAAGGGGAGCGAGATATAGATAAGGAGAAAGAAAGAGCGAGACAGAGAAAATGAAAAAAAATTAAAGAAGTTGATATAAATGGTAATAAATAAAAAATATCGCTAAAATCAGTAATTATTTATTAAGATGTACCAATTTATGTAATTGTTTTAATTCCAAATCAGATGACCTTTCGATCCAAGTCTTGTCCTAAATCTAAGGGCCCGTTTGGCCATAAATTTTCCAAATAATATTTGGAAAAAATTTGGCAAATAATGTTTGTCCATACAATTTGTCATTATTTGGCAAATATTTTTGACAAATATCCCAAATTTCCAAATACTAGTTTTTTCTAGTATTTGGGTCAAATATCATTATTTGGGATATTTTAAAAATTAAAATTTTACCAAAATCTTTTATCTTTTACAAAAACACCCTCTCTAGTATTTGCTTGCGTTGTATTACATCATTTTTTACGTGAGCACCAAAATAGTGATGAAATATTTAGTGAATATTAAATAATGATATGATTGTTGATGAAAATTATTAAAAATTGGCTTTAGATAACAAAGTCATGTACTTTATCTACTTCACGATGTATGGAATAATTTTTGTTGCACTCAC